ACAACAACGCCACGTTTGCTTGAGTGACCTTCAGTGGGCCTCTTTCCTTGAATCCAAAAGAGCTCAGAAGGGAACTTTCAGCTCACTGAACTTTTACTGTTGCCTAACACATGATCCTGTGCCTTTGCACATGAAATATGCATTCCCAGGAATGCTCAGTCTTCTTTTTCCTATATGGCAACTGCCTACTTATCCTTTAGGAAAACAAATGTTTTTTTATGAGCCTCCAGCTCCCCAGGCCAGCGCCTCCTCTGCACGCCTTCAGCACTTTGCTCATCCCTAGTTTTCATAAGACCTCTCTCGCTGTTTTGCAATTGTTTGTGTTTCTGTATCTGTCCCTGCACTCTCAGTCTCTTGGGGCCAGTGTCATATCCTACTCATATTTTTACCTCCCCAATCTGGAGGTGGGTAGCAGATTCTGTTGGTTCCCTCCTCACACCGCCTAACCTGGAGCTCACTCACCTGCAGAGAGTCCCCATGCACTCCCAGTGACTTTCTGTGGCTCTCTGCCTGAGTATTTCAGGGAGACCAGGAGCACCAGGGGGTGAATGCCCCAGGAATGACCCTTAGACAGCAAAAGGTGGGAGTTGGTGGATAAATACTTCAGCTTCTTGCCTGTCTGTGGGTCCACTGAGTTCTATACAGTTCCTCAAAGGGTCCTTTGTGAAACTGAGCCCCAGTGGCCTGTGGTGGCTTTCTTCCCTCCTTGGTCTCATGTCCTCACTCCCTTACCATGCTTTCTAGAATCACCTCCTAAAAAAAACCTACTTGCACCCTAATGAAAACATGTCTTAGGAATTGCTTTTGGATGAGCCCAAGTAAAACAGGGAGATAAAACACATAGTGCCTGACAGATAATGAATGACCGAGGTCATCAGCCCCTACCCCTCTTTCCATCGGCACAGCATGTCAAGAGACACCCTGTACACCCAACCCTGTTTCACTATATTCTCCCAAGTTAGGACCTGATGGCAAGCACACTGACCACACACTCATCAGCACCCTCACCTCCCTTGGTCACTGGTCATTTAGAAAAGCCTACCCTGAGAGTCCCCAGGCACTGACACAGACTTGGGTTCTTTCCACTCCTGCTCTGGGAAGCTGAGCACTACAGAAGGAAACTCTCCTACAATACTAGTTGGGGACCATTTCACATTGATCATTTTTCAACCCTCAACAAAACTTCAAAACCATTTTACTTGCCCCCTGATCATTTCCTTCAGCAATGACTATGCCCAGCTTTCACCAGGATGCTCCATCCTCTTCTTCTTTCTCCCCCTGTCCTCTTTGTATCTGGAGTACTTGAGTGAGTGAAGTTAGCTTGTCTTAGCACTTGCTAGAAGAAGGGCTCAGATTCGGATCAGGGAAAACAAACCACAATCAGGCTCCTTGGAATAACCAACCGGAACAAAGGTCCCCAGCCTTTTCTATACCAGGCACTGGTTTCATAGAAGACAAATTTTCCACAGACCAGTGGGGTGGTGGGGTGGGGGATGGTTTTGGGATGATTCAGGTGCATTATATTTATTGTGCACTTTATTTCTATTATTATTACATTGTAATATATAATGAAGTAATTACACAGCTCACCATAATGTAGAATCAGGGGAGCCCTGAGCTTGTTTTCCTGCAGCTAGACGGTCCCATCTGGGGTGATAGGAGACACTGACAGATCATCAGGCATTAGATTATCATAAGGAGTGCAACCTAGATCCTTCACATGTGCAGTTCACAATAGGGTTCATGTTCCTTTGAGAATCTAATGCCACCACTGATCTGACAGGAGGTGGAATTCAGGCAGTAACGTGAAGGATGGGGAGCAGCTGTACATACAGATGAAGCCTCTTTTGTTCGCTGCTGCTCACCTTCTGTTGTGTGGCCCAGTTCCTAACAGGCCACAAACTGGTAGGTGGCCTGGAGGTTGGGGATGCCTGAACTATAGGTAGGAGGAGATGAGCTTCAGACCTGCCAAGTACAGTGCTGTACACAGGGTAGGAAATAATTGTTATGGGGCTGTCAACCTGTCAAAATAGTCTGGATTGGCCAGAGGAGGAGGTCGCCATGGTGAGAGGGCAGCAAAAGGACAACACTTAGATTAGTACTATTACTAGCTCCATTTGACAGATGAGGAAACTGAGCTACTGATGGGTGAAGTACTTGTCCAGGGTCACACGATGGTAAATGGCATAGTCAGGATTTGAACTCAGACCGTCTAGCTCTGAAGCCCAATAACTTAACTACTACATAATACCATATCTACTGACTTTTGAATACAGAATTGTATTGCCCATTTTTACACTGTTGAAAAAGACATACCCAAGACTGGGAAGAAAAAGAGGTTTAATTGAACTTACAGTTCAACATGGCTGGGGAGGCCTCAGTATCATGATGGGAGGCGAAAGGCACTTCTTCCATGGCAGTGGCAAGAGAAAAATGAGGAAGAAGCAAAAGCAGAAATCCCTGATAAACCCATCAGATCTTGTGAGACTTAGTCACTATTAAGACAATAGCATGGGAAAGATCCCATAATTCAATTACCTCCCCCCGGGTCCTTCCCGCAACACGTGGGAATTCTGGGAGATACAATTCAAGTTAAGATTTGGGTGGGGGCACAGGCAAACCATATCAAGAATTATAGATAAATCATTGGAAAATCATTACAATACAATATATCATCTGCCTCCCAAGGCTGGCATGCTTACAATACATATCAGATCTATAAATAATACATATCAAACAATTCAGATAAAAATGCTGTATGTATAATCTGCTGTACATTATCACATAGCCATTATTAGTGGATTGGAAATGAAAATGAGTGTGCGTTTTCCTCTCAGTTGCTCTGTGGATGTCAATCGTGGCTAAAGTGAGTCCATGTGGTACAGCGAACACAGCAGTAAACTGAGGCACCCCAAAGCGTGGCTAACTACATGGCAGCCATATTTCAATTTCCACATCTGAAGAACAGAGGGCTAGAGTAGACAATGTCTCAGGTCCTTTTCAATGTTAAGATTTTGTTTTTCCATTTTGTATTGACAGTAAAAACTTGACTTCAAACCTGTCTAGCTTACACTTGAAATTCTACTGATGCAGATGACTGGAATCAGGGAGGGAGCCTGCGCGAGGATTGGTACATAACCTCTGTGCTCCTTGGAAAATGAGCAGCAGTATTTTCATATCTGAAGAATCTCTATGCCAACTATTTCGACCTTGTCAGATTTGCAAATTGCGCCTGGTAGGTACAAGGGCTAGCAGATGGCTCTAATTTCAGAGTGCCCTTGACTACTAAAAAGAAGACACTGATGAGAATTTGTCTTAGGCCAGGATCTGGGTCTGCTACATATAAAAAGGATTAGCCCTTTGCTCAGAGATCACCAGCACATACTCTCTGTGTGGCCCAGTCCAACTTCTGTCCTGTGGGCTGCTGCCCTGTTCTACCACCTAGTGCCCAGTCAAAACCCACATTTTAAAACTCAAAGGAATAACCACTGCATGGTAAACTTAGTGGAAAGGAATCAAACATACCACAGGATCAGATGTGCATCCACAGGAGCAATTTTTACTGAATTGACCAAGAAGGTAAGAGCATCTCTGACTTTGGTCACTTTAGAATAAGAATGGTCTTGTTCTACCTGCCCCTGATTAAGCCTCCAGGGATCTTAGGAAACACAGTCTAAAAAAGATTACCTCAAAAATGTAGATATATTCTACTGGGGAGGAAAAAATGTGAACGCAGATATTGATCACATTTTGTGTTACCCCTTCTCTCCAAACTTATCTCCAAAAGCAGAGAGGATGGAGTCTGTCTGGAGTCTCCTCCTGGCATATTTAACTCCCTCCTGTCCCCCTCCTACTTGCATATATGGACTTCTGCACTTAGGCGCAGGCTTCTCTGCCTGAGGTGGCCCATTCTCGAATGCGGACCCCTGCAGGCCAGAAATCTCCTTCCACCTCTTTACACATCCTTCTGAGTCTCATGTGTAGTAGGTGCTCAATTAGTGTTTGCTGAATTGGTCTGTGTGCGCAGGTGCGTGTTTGGGGAGTAACTTAATTCTCAGGGGTCCCATGTATATAACAAACCCCATTTTTCCTCTGACAGAGACTAAGGCACAAAGGCTCCAGATCGCACAGCTCATGGAGTCACTGGGGCTCCTCTCCCTCACCTGGTCTGATGTTTTCAGTCCGGGTGCGGTGGGTCACGCCTGTAATCCCAGAACTTTGGGAGGCCGAGGTGGGAGGATGACTTGAGCCCAGGAGTTCAAGACCAGCTTGGGCAACATGGTGAAACCCCGTCTCCACCAAAAATACAAAAACAGCTGGGCGTGGGGGCACGCACCTATGGTCCCAGCTACTCGGGAGGCTGAGGTGGGAGGATCACTTGACGCCTGGAGGCAGAGGCTGCAGTGAGCGGAGATCCCGCCATTACACTACATCCTGGGCGACAGAGCAAGATTCTGTCTCAAAAAAAAAAAAAAAAAAAAAAAAGTTTTCCTTCAGGAAGGGGTGGACTGGGGAGGCCTGGCTTGGGGGTCACTCCGCAGGTGGCGGCGCACACTCTGAGCGCTTGTTTTGCAAGGGGACGAACTGAGCCTTTTTTTTTTTTTTTGCCATCATTTATCCGAGATGCGATCGGTCCAAATAAGCAGCTCTCGGAAAGTTTCCGTTTTGAAACTTCTCCGACACTCCTATTCCGGGCTGGCTCCGGGTGCCAGAGTCGAGAGGAGCTGCCTGCGAGACCAAGCCCCGCCCCCCGCCGCCCGACCCCCGCAGGAGCCAGGAGGGTGCTGGGCCGCGGGAGTGGGGTGCTGGGCCTAGACATGAGGCTGCAGGACACCACTCCCTCCCCCCATGCTCAAGACTGCTGACACACGAACCCCTACAAACGCGGCCGCCCTTGCCCGCCAGCTTGGCCCCTAGCTTCACCCCTTCTTCCTCTCCCTCGACCACCCCGACCCCCCTCCCCAACGTACCGATCCAGTTCCCGACCCTGGGAGACTCACCCCGCCACTCCAGGAGCCGCTCGGGGGTGAGCGCCGCCGCCACGTCCTCGGCGTAGCCCCTCGGCGCCCCCAGCAGCAGCAGCAGCAGCAGCAGCGACGGCGACAGCAGCATCGCTAACCACTGGGCTCGCCGGGCGCCCCTTGTCCCGGGAGCCCACAGGCGCACCCCAAGCACCCGGCCCTGCAGCGCGGAGGCGGATCCGCAGCCTCCTCCGCGCCCCACCCCTCCGGGGGCCTTGACACCCCCGGGCCCTGGAGACCCACTCCGCCACCCCTGTCGCTACAGTGAATGGACACTCGGGGCTCTGGCTGGGACGCGGGAAAGTCCCCCGCGTTTTCCCCGCCCTACCCACTGCGGCTTGGGGAAGGAGGAGGAGGAGGGGTGAGCCATCTGCCCATCCCAGAAATTCCTGCCTTTGGGGTGGGGACAGGAGCAGTGAGGCTGCCCAGCGCACACTCCCTGCTCCTCCAGTTCGCAGCTCCGCTCTCTCCTTTCCGGGGGAGGCCGAAGAGGAGCTGTGGGTGAGCGATTTGAGAATCTCCAGGACAAGGAGCCTGACATCCGGGTTTGCAAACCACCCGGATTCTGGAAAACACCGCGGGTTTGCAGCGGGCAGCTTAGAGTGAACCCAGCTGCTCTGCGACCCGGGCGCTTTGGGAGCGCCCCGGACTCCTCTGAAATGTGGAGCACTGGAAACCCCTGAGGGGCCACCCCGTGTTCTACCTTCCTTGCCACAGAGTAACCCAAAGATTATTTGATTGTTCAGCTCCTTCGGTTTTGAAATAACCTCCTCTTTACATCTCCTTTGATCCCCCAAGCCCCGCAAAGTAGCCAGGGTCCCTATCACCCATTTTTACATCTGAGAAACCCTGCCCAGAAAGTCGAAGTGCTTTGCCCTAGGTTACTTCCTAATCCAGCAAAAGTTTCTCTGTAGTAAGTAGGGCAGTCCTGGCTAGAATGTAGTCCTTCTAACTGTCCTCCTTCAAATAACCAGCAGAACACTGTCAGTGTTTAATATTCTGAGAACAGGCTTATATAAGACCTTTCCTCAGCGAGACCTTGACATTAGTCGTTAAAACATAAGAGAGGGGGAGGGGAGGGCAGAAAGCAGAGCCTGGAAGGAAATGCCCAGCAGGGAGGAGGATTGAAGGTCAGAGCTAAAAGTGGAAGAAGGGAAAGTGGTTGTCTTGGCCACTGCCTTAACGAAAGGTGCTCAGTCCTGCAGGAACCTCAGAGAGCCTCAGAACTGTCTGTCCGAGGACAAAAGGGGCAAGCGTTTATCCATGGACTTTATCCTTCCCTGTTGGTAAGGGAGCTCCTAGAGATTAACTCTGCTGCACTGTTCTACAGCAGTGGTGAGTTTCAGGCATGGTTCCACGCTTTGTCTCTGAGAAGCCCTGGGTGCATAGCATGGCAAAAGGTGAGGCGTTGTCAGGTTGTTTCTCAGGGGGGTGGGGGACAGGGGGACAGCTAGGGGAGACAGGCTGCAGAGGGGGCTGGAGTAAGGGGTGAGTTGAGAGGATGTGAGAGGTTCCAATGTGTGTAGAGTCTATAACATATCATTACATGTAGAATTCAGCATCCTTGCTTGAAAACATGCAGAAAAGAGATGCTTTAAGCCTAGTAGATTACACAGACTTCAGCTACAAACTATGTATCCATCTCTCCTATAGTCTCAGAACTACATTGCTATGGGAATATCCCCGTAGTATTGTAATAGAAGATTTGGCCCTGCCTGAGCAGGTTGACGTGCATTGCAGCAGGCAAGTGCAATGCATGTGGCATAATTAGGTCATAAAATGGGACACTGATGCTAATCTCTGGTGAGGTCCAGCGCAGTAACAGTAAAGGGGAGAAAGACTAGGCTGGAGTGGGCATAGAGGCCTAAGTGTGCTCAGATAGTATGGTGGATATTGGGAGGAAGAGGCTGTTCTAGGATGGGAAGAAGTTGTGAAAAAAATATATATTATACAAAGGTTAGAGTGAGAACTGCTTGTGTGGGAGAGAGTGAGGCATGCCTGGTTGAAATAAAGGGTAGCCACTGGGGCACCCTGACGAATGAGGACAGTTGCTGGGACATTGGGCTACCTCTCACTGGCTGTGCACCAGTGTGAGTTGTCCACGTGCTACGGGCCTGTTTTAGTCTCTGTATAATGAGGGGGAAAAAAGCCTCCCTTGACCCATAGCAGATACAATTCTGAAGTAGCAGAGCTAGGACTATGAGTAGGATAAGAAGGGAGAAACAAACCTTATTTCATCTTCAGAGCAATTAGTATAATGAAGAGAGGTGATGACAGCTTCCTGGCCTACCAACCCCATATTTTCTATTCAACCATTAGAACACTCAGAAAAGAGCTACTTTTTCTTTTCTTTCTTTTTCTTTTTCTTTTTTAAAAAAAATCTGTTCCTGAAACACTGCAGCTTTGAAATGGAAATCTGTGGTAAAGAGCTTTTTAACCTTCAAGAAAATGACCACTACCCATATCCTGGTCTCACATGTGTTTCAGGTTCATGAGGCAGTGTAGGGTCATGGTTAAAAGAGGCAACTCTGCTACTTACCAGCACACCACTTAGTTTGCCCCAGCCTCAGTTTGCCTCTATGTAAAATGGAGATAATAATGTTTGCTTCATTGTGTGACTGCATTAAACGAGCTAATGTATGCAGAGTGCTTAGCACAGTGCTAGCACACTGTAAAGTTCACCTCTGGGAGCTGTGGGTGTGTGGGGAGGGCATGAGGAGCACAGAGCAAGAGCAAAGGAGAGCTTAGAAGCCATGTTGCAAAGCGCTATGCTAGTGGTAATTATGGCTCTGGACTCCAGCTGGGGAACACGGTGGGCAGGGCTCAGTGCCTGCTGGCCTTTGTACAGCTTCCTATTGCTTCCCTTCTCCTTTGGAATTGGAATTCATTATTTATATCTCTCACTTGAATGTGAATTCCAGGACAGCACACTTCCTGGCACTTAGTCATCTCTCAGTTTCTGCTGAATGAGCGAAGGAATAAGGGAAGAAAAGAAAGAGGTTGTAAGAAATACAGTCAGTCTTCACTTAACGTCATCTATAGGTTCTTAGAGACTATGATTTTAAGCAAAATTGCATATAATAAAACCAATTTTCTTTTTCTCATCAATGTCATAATGAAATCATGTTGAAGGAAATAATGTTATTTGAGGACCTGCTATATGTCATTTCACTCAAAATTGCAGTTTCCAAGAACCTGTTCATGCTGTTAAGTGAAGACTTCCTGTACAGTGTGTGGGGTCATTTGAAACTTGAGAAAAATATTAAAACTTTGAATTGTATTGATAGTGAAGAAAATGGGATTTAAAACTCAATGTATAGATTGTGGTTTGTCAAAATTAACAAATTTTTTGAGCACTGTATGAATCAGGGTATCATCAAGAAAGGGTGAGGTCCTGGTTTGTTGAACATTTACCCAAGGGACTGTGAACCCCAGAAAATCGAGACGGGCCTCAGTTAATTTAGAAAGTTTATTTTGCCAAGGTTGAGGACACATACCCATGGCACGGCCTCAGGAGGTCCTCACGACATATGCCCAAGGTGGTCAGAGCCCAGTTTGGTTTTATACATTTTAGGGAGACATGAGGCATCAATCAATGTATGTACAATGAACATTGGTTTGGTCTGGAAAGGTGGGACAACTTGAAGTGGACAGCGGGGCTTCCAGGGCATAGGTAGATAAGAGACAAGTGGCTGCATTTTTTCAAGTTACTGATTAGCCTCTCCAAAGCAGGCAATCAGATATGCATTTATCTCAGTGAGCAGAGGGGTGACTTTGAATAGAATGGGAGGCAGGTTTACTCTAAGCAGTTCCCAGTTTGACTTTTCCCTTTAGCTTAGTGATTTGGGGGACCCAAGATATTTTTCTTTCACATCTCCCCTCTTTTCTTCTAAAAGAATCTTTTGAAGGCTGAGCATGGTGGCTCACACCTGTGATCACAGCACTATGGGAGCCTGAGGCAGGTGTATCACCTGAGGTCAGGAGTTCAAGACCAGCCTAGCTAACATGGTGAAACCTCGTCTCTACTAAAATACACAAATTAGGTGGGTGTGGTGGTGCACGCCTGTAATCCTAGCTACTCAGGAGGCCGAGGCAAGAGAATTGCTTGAACCTGAGAGGCAGAGATTGCAGTGAGCCGAGATCATGCCACTGCACTCCAGCCTGTGTAACAGAGCCATTCTCCATCTCCAAAAAAAAAAAAAAAAAAAAAAAAAAAAAATCTTTTGGAGAAAATTAGTCTCTGGTTCCAGGTTTTGTCTTTTTATCTGATATCTCATGGCTAGGATGATTTATTCCTAGACAGGTAGGTCCTGAGTTATTAGGAAAGCTCATTTTTAGAAGGTTGTGAAGTCTCATGTCCTATGGAGAAAATAGAGGGAGGAAGGGAGAACAACAACAATAAACAATTTTGGAAAATTGATGTTGGCCACATTACTCTGAAGTCCATATATCAGTAGGCAGGTATGAAAGTGGCTTAGGTATGTAAATAGGTGGTTGTTATTGTCTTCTGAAGTTCAAGTTGTCTAGCCTCAGTTTGCAGAGCTTTACGTAAGCACAGTTTTGTTTTCAGGGACACCAAATTAGGAGAAAAGGGGAAAAAAGGGGAAAAAATTGAAAACACTGTTTTGAAAACTAATAGCCAAAAAAAATTAGAGTTCAGTCCAAACTGTAGAAAATAATAAAATTGAAAAATATCAGGCAAGACTAGAATTTAACAACAGGTGCACTACAGCTTTGAAACATAATTTTTCTCTCTCCAGTTTCCCATTTTAAAAGACAAATCATGGTAGGACTGATTTGCTTTACTATACTTGTCCTAATTATTTGCATACAGTGCAGCAAGAATAATTATTTTTTACATAGGCTTTTAAATCATCTTTGATGGGACTTTGTTCCATACAAGGAATCTCAGATAAGACTTTTTTAAAGCTGAACCCAATGATGAATTTGTGCCACCTAATACCTATGAGTTGGGTGATCCTTTTCTCTTGAGGTTCCAAGATAAACTTGGAGCTCCTGGGCCTGTCAGAAAGTAAAATTCTTTACTTACCACTGTACAGGGAAGGTATGAAGTCAGTTTCCCCAAGGGCTTTTATTGACTCCATAAGTCAAGTTTGATTCCTTAAAGGAATGCACACCATTAAAACCTTGGTAAAATAACCAATTTCTCCAATTGTGTCCTGTTGCAAAATGAAAATAGATTCTTATTGCACTTACGCAAATAACTGTATTGCCATAAGTTAAGAATACTCACAAATAGTTTCCAAATTCTGGAGAAATCAGGTAGAGAGAAACAAATATGCTCCAAATTGTGTTTATAGGAGTATACTAAATTGTTAAAGTTGTCAATAGCTCAAAAGAAAAGTTTCCTTGACTCTGAAAAAAAAGCAAAACGAAAGATCAGCAACATTTAAAGCACAAATCAAAAAGATTACTTTAGTCTTCTATCAGTTCATTTTACACAGTTAACTCCTGTTCTGCTTGATATTCATGAACATTTCAGCTCTCCATGAGAGTCCTGAAAGTTTTTGCCTCTATTCTAATGTCACAGTCTGCAAAGTTATCAA